CATTTTAATTCGTATTATTAATATAACTGTATACTTATGATTTTCATAAATGTTTACTATTTTTATTTAAAAGAGGTAGGTTTAGAAAGAGATGGATTGCGTGGAAGGTGACATTATCAAGAAGGGAGTGACAATTGCCATGATGGAAGATAGATAGATAGATAGATAGATCTGGAGGACAAAACCTATTACGCCCCTACGGGAATAGGATAAGCAGGGTAAGATGATGTTTATTATTGTCTTATTAACTTCCTTCTTACCAAACTATATGCGAAAGTTTCGATGGATGGTTTTTAGCAGGTAATTTCATAACGGCTAAACAAATCTTGGACAAAATTTGTACAGAAATACAATGTATAGTATTTTATAAGCTACTTACTATTTTTTTTATTGTGCACGAACTAAATCGCAAGCATCAGCTAGTTTTACTGGAAATGTATTAAGTAAAAGATCTCCATTTGGTAAAAATTTACATAAAATATTCAATCAAGACTCAATACTACTTTCCTACTAAAATTATAATTGCTATGTTTTAATGGATGGATGTTCGTTAGTAAGTATGGCGGCTCAACGGAGTTTAAATAAATTTGGCATAATTGTAGAAGTCTGGAAGAACACATAGACTAATTGTTTTTTTAATCCCTGCGGACAGAGTAACGGTCTACATCTAGTTTATTACAGAACAAGATTTATTTGTACGATTTCTATAAGCAAGTTTGATATCCTACATTGCTATTTATAAGTTTCTTCAGATGTTCTTATACTGTAAAGCGCTTGTTAATGTATGATATCTTAAACAGAACAAAAGTGTACCTTGTAGTTGAGAACTTCCCATAGAAAACAATATTTTCAAGAACAATAACTAGAAAAAACTTACTAAAACCGGTCTTGTTGCGACAAGAACTTAAAAAAATCACTGTTATTAGTGCCCTTATGATCCGCTAGGTGTTCAACATTTGCATATTGTAAAGGGTCAAATGGTCCTTTTGTTCAGTTTTTGCGATACTCAAAGCGGAACGGATTCTTTGATAAACTTTTTTTTTCTGTCAAGTGTTCAGTTACATCCAGTTTTATCCTGTTCTATTGTGTTCGTTTCATGGATTACGTTTTGATATGTATAGTTTAATGGAGAAATTTAATTTCATAGAGCATCAGGGATATAGAACGAAAATTTGCGAGAAAGTGTTCGTAATGTCACTGACATTTATATGACATCTGCTACGCATCTATCTACGTTCTTTTAATATTTCGTGCTAGGGCCTCCTATTTTGATAGTAGAGATGAATCTATTCTTTGCGCTAGAAAAGAAATATCTCTGTTTATTGTTTAACGTACATTTCTTTCACTTGATCTAAACTTACACTCACTCTCAGAGTTAAAGAGTCCCTAACTATAATTTCCCAGGCAAATTGACGTTAACGAATTCTTTAAGTGTTAAACACTTGTATTAAACTACGCTTAGTTCGACAGTAAGGAAATTTTCACAAATTTTAATATTATTTTATAATTTTAATATACTTTTTTAAATAAAAATAAATTGTTATATATAGATAGCATTTATTTTTCTATTAATAACATGATCTTCAATATAAAATGGCTTTAGAATAATGCTCGTATACGCTCTAATAGTTCTGCACAATGGAGGACGCCTTTGGCCGACGTTATTATATTGTTACTATAAAAAAAATTAAAATGAAATATGGCGTCGGAACGTCCGAGACGACAGCTGCCGGCCGGCCATTGTTGCATATAATATCCGTTTGAGCATCCACACCTATAATGCTTAATGGAATATCTTCCATCATTTCATTAATTCATTTTTTATTTTGAACTCTGCTATTTTATAATCATACTAATATTATAAATGCGAAAGTTTAGATGGATGGATGTTTGTTAGAGTTTGCAGCCTACACGGCTAAACGGATTTGATTGATGAAATTCGGCATTGATCTAGAGGATAGTCTGAAAGAAAACATAGGCTACTTGAATTTGTTTATTTTGATTCCGCGCGGACGGAGTCGCGGGCGAAAGCTAGTGATGTGTAAAAGTGAACCTTACTTGGGTAGTACTTTTGACCTGTCTAAATTTTATTTAAACAATAAATGTCTGTTTTTGTTTCTGTTCCTAAAGATTCTACCTTTCCAATTATTTTGTATTAATCTATTTAATTCATCTTAAGGGTGTTCCTTTTTTCTTCCAATAGCAATAACTTAAAAGAAATTAATGTATACTATTGAGAAAACCGCCAATAATTATAACAAATGACACACTGGTTTTGTGTGCATTGTAAAGACTCCGAAACTATTGGACCGATTTCAGTTTTTTCGTTGGCTATATTCAATTTATTATTATATTACAAGGCTATATGATAATATCATAAGAGCAATAGGGTAGACTATACAACGGGAAGGATATCGATATGACAGAAAAGATATAGAGGTTTATTCTTTGCCAGAAAAAGCAGAGTCCTTCTCTAGTCTATACTAATGTTATACAGAAGAATGATTTGTATTTTAGCATGTATTGAAATAACTCAAAATCAGCTGGGCCATTTTCAAAAATTCTTTCATAGTTAGAAAGCCACCTTATCAGTAAGTAACATAGGCTATGTTATTTACTACTTTGTTACTTTCTCTCGAACGAAGTCTCGAGCAATAGTTAGTATTTATAAAATGAAAGATTATATCGTTTTTTACATGTCCGGAACTTTGTAAGTGATGGGAAGTTGAATTTAACGCACATTATAAAGGTGCCCCTAAAGCTTGGGGTCATCGGGCGCTCACCGCATTGTTCACAACGGATATTATTAACATCAAAAATGTTTGTCTGTCTACTTTTTTATACTTTATAGCCGACTTCTGGTCAATTAATTGTAAACCCTTACTTAAGGTAGAATATAACAAGATAACTATAATCAGTAATTTGATAATTCCTAAAAACTTTTTTAATTTTCGAATAGTTCAATTTTAGAATATACAAAGAATTTCAACGTTTTTTATAATAACTGTTGATTTCAATTTTTTTCCAATTTTTTTTAACTGCTTTTACTAAGTATTTTTTTTAAATGTTACCTGAAACATTAAACGTATATAATACGGTTTTAAAATATTTCATAATTAAATATACTGTTATTTATTATTACTTTTAAGAGTGTTTAGAAGAAAATGTGACGGAAAAGCACCCCCGGAGCCATCTAGTTTTCAAAATAGCAAAGAAAATTCAGTTTCATCCCTTGTCCGCTACTTAAATGTTCTTGTAAAATCGCTTCAACTATAAATTAATATCGAAACGAGTAAAACATCTCATTGTGTTTTTATTAAAATAATAAAATAAATAAACATGTATTGACATTAGTTTCATAGCTAAATTTCCTCGAAATTTCTTTCCAAAATTGTCATGTATTTTATCGTTTGACACTTATTTTTTAGTTTAGTGGTCGATGTTAGTAAACCTTTTGTTTGTTTATAATAAATTTTGCGACAAAACAAATTATCGTAACTCTAAAGATTTTTTTCTCTATATGTAATATTTTTCCACGTTCCCAAGCCATTACAAGCGCCCCCTAGCGACGTAAAGTACTCACATATTCACAGACCGTATAAAAAGTCTAGTCCACTCCTACGTTGTTAGACCACGCCTGTTCATTATTATACCTGGCAATTGTCTTTAAGTCGCGATTTTAGATAATGTCTTGGGCATGTCGGTACATGCAATTTCAGACCTAATTATATGTGCCATTGCAAGCGGAACGGAATCATTTTTCCGTGACATGTAGGTGCAGTCGATAAGTTATTGAATAAAATATTTGAATTGAATTTATTTAGTTACTGAGTTTTTATAATTATTAACTTGTTGAATTATCTTAAGAAAATGGACTTGAGACATGAAGTTTTTTTGTTAAATTCTTTTACGTAGATGTGAAGAGGTCACAGAATGTCGTAGACTTCGTAGCAAGCTACGCCATCTGTCGTGGGGTAGCGAGAGGGTTGAATAATCTAATGAGGGCGTACGGCGGCGATAATATAAAACTAAGACCTCAGAGATAAGAGTACAAGAAAAAAAGTAAGGACACAAATGGCTTACTATAATGTTAAAATTTCATATGCTAATTTAACGAACAAATTTTAACTGTCTTTATTTTTGTAATTTGTTCAAAATTCAGTTGTTCGAAGTTCAAAATAATAAGGGCACAGCTTAAGAAAATTCGGTATTTCTGTAAACCAGAGTTTAGGTAAAAATGCGAAAAAATTGACGTCAAATCGGCCGTTGGCTAAACCCCATGAGCTAAGCTCCGCCTGAACAAGAAAAAAATTCAATAGTAAAGAGGCGTTACGGAAGTATTTAAAAACTCGACATGCAAGGGCTTTATACAAACTCCCCAAGTGCGAGCGAGAGCGTCGACATTAAGAAAAAAATTGTAAAGAAAGGCAATTCTTTTTCATTTCCTCCCTCACTAATAGGGGCTTAGAAAAAAATCGTTCGGTCTACTCGTCCTTTTCTAACGCATAGGGGTGGGATGCGAGCGGGCGCGGCGGAGCGAGAGGGGCGACCCTTCGCGCCCTTTTTAATAGTTGTTATTAGGTCCTCGGTCCGAGCGGTCCGAGCGGGCCGAGCGTTTCGTAAGGCGGCTGTGGGCAAGGCGCGAGGCGCCCGGCCGCTGTCCGTCGCGCGCTCGCCGCCGCGGCTTTTCCTTGACCGCTCGCATTTTTCCGCGGAAAAAACGCGGGGCGCACGCGCCCGGCGCCGCCGCCGGTGGGGATGTTCTTGACGACGTCTAAGGCGGCGGGGGCGGCGCCGCGTCTTGCTAGTTGGAGCGGCGTCTTCGCGTGGCGCGCGCGTCCGCCCCACCCCGCAAGAAAGCGTCGCGACGCGCAAGTTTTCCACCAAGAAGTTAGTCGTCGCCCGCCCGCGTCTCAAGGTGGTCCCGCTTTTCGCTTTCCCATTCCGCCCGCGTAAATAAACCGAAAGCCGCCGCGCGCTAAAGACCATCATCGTTGCAGGTCCGGCGCGGCTCCAGCCTCAGGCGCGGGACGTCGCATGTGTTCCTCGTGACCGTGCGCCCCAAACTGGAATTAATGTTGAAATACTTCAATGAAAACATATCCCTAGCGCTCCAGGAGAGGTACAGGGACCTCCATGATTACCGGAAGACGGAACCGGTAGAGGAGGACTCACCGAGGGAGGCGAAAGTACCGAAAATAGCGGAGGAGGGCGAAGCGGTCGGCGGCGAAGGCGCTTACGAGGCGGGCGCCGCGCCGCCGTACCCGAGACTCCTGGAGGCGCCCAAAGAAGAGGACAACTTTGTGACGAGCTGGCTGCAGAACTCATTCAAGATGACGGCGGCGGAGGGTGGCGAGGCAGCGGCGGCTGGCAGCGCGCTCGACCTCCGCGCGGCGCCTCTCTCGCTACATATCCCAGCGCTGCAGCCCGACCAACGTCAATTCAAGATGCAGGACTTCTGGGGGCGCAGCCGACCTGCCAGCCCACACGAACCACCCGAGCCGCACGAGCCGATGCCGCAGCCGGGACCCGCGCCGCCCACACCGCAGCCGCCCGCCACACCAGACCACAAGATCATGACAGACAAGCTGGTTACCGATATACAGGTGAGTTCCTTTAATTACCTATAAGTTTTAAAAGTTTAGGTGATAGAATTGTGTAGTGGGAAATTTAATCATAATCGCTCAAAACATTTAAATGTTCGTAACAAGATTATTTCCGCTTTACTTTTAACTAATAAAATTATAAAGAGTTAATTTTTTAAGACTTTCCGACGGAACTTTGAAACTTGCTATTTTTTTTTCACCGGTAAATATAAAAAAATTAAAATCTGATAAATTTCGAGTTCATACCGATCAACTAGATATAGAACATTTACCTGAAAATCGACGAAAAATAATAATTTAACACTAAGAAAATTCAGAATGAACGTATCTTCGGCAATCAGACGTGTGTCTACTCCTGATCATGTAAATCGACTGACCCTTATGAGGTCTTACGAAACTCGTTTCAAATACGGAACGATCCCTTCTTTAAAAAAAAAAACAGTTACAAGAAAGCAATACAACATATTGTGTGTACCTTTTGTTAAGCGAAGAAAGGGTTAAGGGCCTCGCGTTCGACTTATTATTAAATCGTTTTTGTCCTTACATCGCATCCGGTTTTTACAAAGGATATGTAAATTAACGATAATCAATGATAATTCTATTATTTCGGTATTAGCTTGTGATCAACTTGTCGACGATATTTCGATTTCTTTTGTTCGTTCGTATTTGTTTTGACCATATGGCTTATGATTGCGGTCACAGAAACCCTATCATTGATTCATTTTATCCATCCGTAGTACAAATAAAGTTGAGTTTTTATTGTTTTTTTAATGATAAAATGTTAAGTCCATGTCAACATTAGGTGAATACAAATTTAAATGTTAAAAATACATTTAAGATCTATCAAGTATTTGGTTGTGTAAATTAAAAAAAATGTAGTTTTTGAAATTTCGTTAAAGAAAAAAATATGTTATACTGGTGTTTTACATTTTCTAATATAGTTAATAAATTACGCATTGTAAGGAAATTGTGTAAAAAAACAATCTGTAAACTTACACAGGAATGATTCCTTAATTTCCGAGTTCCGTCGCATAATTCTTTAAAATAAAATTAAAAACAATGTATCGAGTTCGATATTCAAATTTATTCGAAATTCAAATACAAAATGTACATTTTTTAATTTCAAACGTAAAAATTGAAGACGAAAAGTATATTACTTTTTAAATTAGTTTTGGACTCAGCTCACCTTGCATTTGTCTTTTTCCCACGGAAAGGATTAGGGGTTTCATTGTGATTTAATTTTTTTTTCTTTTTTCGCCGCGCTTTGTTTCACGGAAGGGGTGTTGACAGTTATTTGTTGCGAATCTGTTCTCATTCAATTTTTTTTTGTTTTAAAATTCTATTAAAACGTAAACCGGTTTTGATATCCTGTTTTGCATTCATCGGTTTGTTTTTGTCTTTTTTTGTTATAAATTAAATTTTAACGGTTCGACGGTTTTAAGTGGCAGCGCTATTGTGGTTATATTATTTTATAAAGGATGGTTAATTAAAATATGATTTATTAATATTTTTTTATGATAAAATCTCGTAGTCAGACTAAAGAAAATTATTTAAAACCATAAATAAACAATGTCTTCTAAGTCGAAAAACTTTAGATCACTTTATAAGCGTATATTTGTTTATTTTTTATATTTTCTATAATATTCAATTTGGGTATAAAAAGTTTTTCCGCGTCACATATTATGCATAAAAGAAAAAGCGTTCTCCATAGATATTGAAAATTATAATCGATATGAAATTACAAAAATGTATATACTGAAAAGGATCGGAATATGTATGTAATGTGTGAATAATTAAATGTATTTTTCTTTCACGCCCGCCTGGAACAGCAACAGTCACCATCCGCAGACTCCACAATGAGCGAGAGATCACTCGTACCATTTGCACTGGTAAATTTACTGTCATCACTCAATAATATCGATGTAAATAATTTTTTAATTACTACGTGTGCTCTGTTTCTTACATGTTCTGTATTTTATGCGTATGGTTTGCCCGCACTCTTTTGTCATGATTTAAAACTGAAATTTTCTTTTTTTTTTAATAAAATGACTGGCTGATTTAAGCTTAGCTTGACTTGATAATTGATATGCATTTTAAGTTTTGCTTTCGTAGATTTTTTTATTTAGTTGATTGTGTACTAACTGGCACGCTTAGTCGTTTAATGACTATTAATAATGTCCGTTAGTCTAGATTAGATATAATAATCTTCACTAAGGGACTAAGTTAACACAAACAATTGTATGTAGTTATAAAAAGTTGGTGAATGTATGAGTGTTTTTAGTTACGTTTTAACAAAGCGATGCTAACCAATACTTTGATAACTGAAATGCATGTACTTCCTTAGCGTAACGATATTAAACAATGACGTTTAGGTATTCAGATATTTTTTTGTAGATGTTACAAGTGTTGCTGTTCTAATGTAGTGGTATTTAACTTCGAAATGTAACTAACAGCTTATAAACTATCGATATCAATATGTCTTTTTTGTTATAAATACCTATTGTTTGAAGATTTGAAGACATTATTACTCTCAATAGAAATAAAGACCCAAAACTATGAGTATCGTTCGATTCGTATTTTTTGAAAACAATCTTGTGCGTTCTGTATCCGGAATGCCACAAGGATAGGATAGTAGAGAGATATCCTAGGATAGAATAGTATCCTATTTAGGATACAGAGGGATAAGTCTTGAAAATGTTGTTACTTTTTACGTAATTATTGCTAGTTTTTGTTACATTTTTTGGTGTTAATTTTGTTGTTATCCATACAGCCGCAACAACAGTCGCCGACGGGGGAGGCGCCGATGCCCGACCGCAGCATGCTACCCTTCGCATTGGTAAATTTCCTGAATAGCCTCAATATTGATGTAATTATTTTCAATCTTTCTTTCACCTTCTCTTCCTTTTCAATACGGAAACTTATTCAACCTTTAAAACTATGACAGTTTTATATAATTTACCAATAATTGTCTTTTTAATTTTAAAATTTTTAAGTCGTATGGCTTCAAGGCAACTAAGTATTAGGACTGCTACACACTTTGTTGGTGTGTAGGAAAAATTTTAGAATTCCATAGTCTAACCATACCAGACAATTCAAAATTTAAATTTACTTTACACAGGTTTTTAACTGTAGAGTCTAACTGTTCAGTTAAATATGAAAGTAGTCTTTTGATAGAATTTCTGTTTGCAATATTTTTTTGTAATGTTATATCTTCATATAAAACATAAAATTAACTTACTTGTACTTTATTATCGAATGAGTTTCCGTAGATTCTATTATTTATTTTAATTATGAATATTTATAAATGTTTACAATCTGTGCAAACTATATGGCGTCCAAGTTACAAGTATGAATCTAAAATAAAGTTTAAATATACTTTATAACGCTCATCACTTATGCTTTTTTAATTTACGCTAATGTCAAACTAAGTAATATTATTATAATTTTTTTTCGTTAATTAATTTGTTACGCATAGATACTAGAATGTTAAAAAACTAAGTTAGTAACATTTTTAAACTCTTAAGTCTAAACTAATTAAGCTATTTAAATATTTATTTCACAAATAGAAATTAAATTACAGACTAACATAATATAGAACTATTTGTTGATATGTACAGTCGCCTTCGGACGCGATGGCCTAGTTAAGGATCCTTTAACCTCTCAACTAATAATTGCTCTTCCAGTTTTCAGCTGAAGAATAATACTAGAGTTTTATAGAAATAAAATAAAAAAAATTGGAGATACCTCATACATCCGGATATCATATTGTGGTGTACGTTATTATTCCGTATACCAACCTTTATTACATTAAGATATTAACAATTGCCACTGTTAGCACTGCGAACGAAGGCGACTGTACCTGGGTGAATTTGAGTGAAAACTGAGATTAGTTGGTAGTTATACCCGAGATAAGGGGTGATAGGCGAATTGGTGGTTTGCAATAGCAATGTTAATTTTTGTGTTTGTTGTACAGCAACAAGCGCGGCCGGGGCAGAGCATAAGCGAGAGAACGCTGGAGGAGTGCTGGTCGACGCTGCAGCGAGTGAGTTGGCACCTGTTTCAATGCGTATTGTTATCTTCCAAGGGTCAAGGGATAGTGGACGCTTATATATCGATACGGATATGAGTTTATTTTTTAAAAGACAAAGGTATTACTAATAATTTGATTCCAGTGATCGTATGATGATCCTATTACGTTGTGTACGTTTTTTTCATCTAAATAAATATTTTTTACCTAAAATATATGTTATCGATATATCAAGTAAAGCATATCCCTAAAATGGGTATTGGTTACAAACCGATAGCTAGTTTTAAGTTTAGTTTAAGATTCTTTCAACAATGGTTTGATTCAAATTATGCTCTTCCGATTATGTTAAATGTAGTTAATTCTTCGCGTTAAAGATTTTTATCGAATCGTTATATCGACGGGTGGTAAAAGTGTCGGGGGCTATTTATTGCAATGCGAACTTGTAGGTAACTAGGCTTGATCTGTTAAATATTCAATAGTTAGTGTTGAACAATTTAAAAGATTATAGTCTTTTCGACATACTATAACAATAGGTGTAACCTTACTTTATTTAATGAAGGATATTGATAGTAAACTTTCTTATAATCGTTACGAATACGCTCGATCTAAGCACATGGTTTACGACAATTGCATGACAGGATTAATATCTACGACCACAAATTAGAAGTCAGTAAACATTAAGATATTTCAATTAAAATGATTGATTTCTAATTTAAATATCTGTGTTAATGCGTATTATCTCCTTTTATTTTAAAGATAATAAAAAGTATGACAATGATCCGTATCGACTAACCGAAAGTAATTTATATAAATACGTCGGTTACAAAAGGTGAAATAAAAGACACATTCAAACTTTGTAATCAGTGTGAATATCACAGGATATAGAGCACAAAATCTATTAAGTGTTAAATATTTATTACAATTTGCGCAATAAAGGTAGGGCACCTGCAGATGTTCCGGTCAGGTTACTTCCTGGAGATCGCATACGGCACCTTGAAAGCAGATGTAAGTTTTGCCGCCAAAATAAAAGCAAGGAGGTGCGATCACAGATTACTCGAGTACAAGACCAACACGCCTTCGGTTATACTCTTGACTATAAATACATCCATTGTTATTGCACAATGATTTTTTGATTAAAAATATAAAATACTTCGGACTCTTTTCACGCACGATAAATGTCTTTTCATTGAAATGCAAATAACATTACTATAGATGTATTAGCACAGGCTTTTAAATTTAAAACTTTAGTTAAAAACAATACTTAACAATATACCATAGGTAAAAAACGTTTTATTTTCACATGTATTCCTAAATGAATACAGTAAAATTATTTAATTAACTCCCTGGAAACAATGTCGCGCATACCAAAAAGTATATTAGCTAAAAGTTTTAATAGAACCTCGTTGTAATGTAGCATGCATTTTGAAAGCACAGGTGGTTAAAAAAAATAAACGGGACAGCGTACGTCGGACGTTAAACGGAAAAGTGCACTCGGGTAAAATAAAAACCGAGCTCCGTACGGTGTAGCACTTGATCTTTCGTCGGAACAGAAAAGTTAGATGGCTAGAGTAGTTTCACACTAAAAAATTTCAAATATGTTTAGCATTGCAGTAATGGATAATAGCTGGTTCGTCAGGGTCATAAGTCAGATTGACAGATTAGACCCTAAGTTAGTTTGACAACATATAGCAAATTTGATTTTTAAAGACCATCATCAGGATGAAAAAATTGTTTTGGTGCCTGTTTGTAAAAGTTAAAATCTCCTCAGAAGATAACTTTTTACTGTTAGAATCATTACCCTATTACGTTAAATAAAAAGTGTTACCGCAATAAAATATTGCGTAAATCTACTCTATAGATTTTATGTTCCGACAAAAAGTACTTGATACGGCTTGTCGAAAAAAATCTTTAACATTTGCATGTCGATCCGCAATGAATTTATAGTTATTGCCGCGGGATTTATTGCCGGCGTCGCTTTCCGCAAAATAAAAAAAAATCCGCGGGAAAATGACCGCCGTTCGAATTTTAAATTCAAATCGCAATTGTTTTTTCGTTCCGAAATTGAAACAATTTTGACGTCCGCCGCCCGACCGGGACATGTGTTTTTAGGTTTTTTTATACATTCTCTTTTATTTCGATTTCGCGGTACGCCTCGTTGTTAGTAGGGATGGTAGATTTTTAAATTTTAACCTTTGAGTAAGATCAATGAGTTTAAAGACTTTTAGAAAAAAATATCCTTCAAACATTTAAAAAAAAATGCATCTTTTGTTATTCGTGTAAAGTAGGTAACTTTCTTGTTATATGGAATCATTTGTATCGAAAATAATTAAAAAAAACATTTTTATACTTTTATCGATAGCTTTAGAACAGCGTACTCAACCAAATCATTGGTTTCTTTTTAAATTTATTTTGGTACGAATACAAGAGACATCACTAGCGTAAGTGTATATCAGGACTTATTCTTTCGGTATTTTTTTCCTTCGGGGCATTGCTAGTAAATCAAGAGCCTTGTCTTACTTTCTGTCTGTCGGTCTCTTTGCTGCAAATATTGTTTTTTACAGACGTATTTAACGACGTACCCAAATTAGAATATTCGGTACATTCTTAATGTACTCAGATTAAAATGTTCTTTAATTCGTCTTGAGAAAAAAATCAAATCAAGAAACAATCGTATAAGATAAAGTATCGTACAAAATAAGAGAAAGTCTTGTACAAAAATATAGTTACTTTTATGATTTCGAAAATGTATCTGTACTTACAAATTTTACAAACGGGAAAGTTAAGATGGATAGATGTACTTGATAAATTTGTCACAGATATATACCATAGATTAGAAGAATATAGAGGCTACAAAATAAGATTTGAAACCCGCGCGCGGGCGAAATCGCGAGTAATTTTTTTTTTAACTGGTATGCATTAAATGATTTGAAACATTTTAAAAGTAAAAGTAATTATTATAAATAGAGTTATGAGTCTTTCTTTAAAAAAAATCCAAAATAATGGACGTTCTCAAAAGTTCGCATTCGAAAAAGGAATGTAATTTTTTAACAGTAACATCTTGTAAAAGTATCAAAACGGGTTGTAAAGGGTGAGAAAGGGGGATGCTGTAATTATGAAAAGTGTCCAAGGAGGGAGGAAAAATTGTGCGGGGACGTTTAGAAAAAAGTGGTCTAATGACCGAACAGCTTTTAAATTTAATAGGTTTTGAAAGATTGTCTCCGTGCCTTGAAGTCTGGCATAACGAGCTTTTGAACTGATACTGTTAAGACTTTAAAAGTGCTTTTTTGCAATCATATTAAGCTCAGACTAAAAAGTGTTTTACTGACATATGTTTAAAAAATATACAGACGAATTGAGTACCTCCTTCTTTTGGGAAGTCGGTCAAAAAGGTGAAAAACGTTTCTACTTATTCCTAAAAAGGATTTTATATTACGTCTAGCAAAACATGAGTCTTATGATGTCATATATCATGACGGCGGTTGTATAATCTACCAAAAATATTGTGGCTAAGTAATATTTAGCTCTCGTTACAAACCATATCGTAAACGAAGAGTGTTATGAGTAGGGGGCGCGTCACAAACCACATGAATCACAAGTACACACAATATACACGCTTAATTAGATTATGTATTTTATACTAGTGGTCTGGACTATTCTTATCTTAAAGAAAACAAAAATAAAATGTTATGATAAAGTTACTTTTAGTCGTTACTATGAATAGGGCCCGCTTAAGCGATGTCCGCACATTTCTTCTGCTTGTTTTTTCCGTGGCCATAACTCACTGCGCGAAGGAAACGGGGGTTTTTTGGTCGAAACTTGAAAATTTATTTTGCAATTAGCGCCCGGGCCACACTTAACACGGCAACATTATTAGAAAACTTTTTAATATTGCTCGTAAAAATATCGTTTTTTCGGACACCTGGCGGAATTTCGACTGTGAATTTTTTATCAATGTAGATTTACCTACGGGGATGTAAAATGCTATAAACTGAAATTAAACTTGAGTATCTGTTAATTTTTATAGCTCAAACTCTGCGTCTATTTCACGGAAATATCGACATGTAAAAACTTATTGAAATCTATATGCTAAAAACGTTTCTATCTGTCCCTTGAACGTTAAAATTCATAACGAGATATTTGAAAATCCTCATAAGATATTATATTTGTCAATTTGTAATTTATGTAAAATTCGGCTAATTTAAAAGGAAAAACGTTTCAAGTATGAAAAATGGTTGATTAGCGAAGCACGATGTCGACATGACAACGGTCCGAGGTTGAATTCTCACAAACACTACAAATTGGCGGGAAAACAGCGCCCTCTCGGGAGTGGCGGACTGAGCGAAAAACTCGACAAAAATTAGATTTCTACATTGTAGTACGCTTCAACGGTTTTGATACTCGGTTATTGTGCAAAACAAATTTTTATACTTGTAATTTAAAAAAAACGTTACATAAGTAATTACGTATACAATTTTGTGAATATAGATGATTAAAAGCAATTGATTTTTTTTAGATTAAGGTCCCGTTTATTTTAACATGAGTTTAACATTAGTTTAAAGAACATTACAGTGCTATCTTACGATCTCAGAAGTTATTCTTGGATTTTTAGCAAGAAGTAGAATATAAATATGTAACGCACAAACTTAATTTCCATTCACTCAATGGTGTCGTGTACTCAAATTACTAATCTACGACGACAAATCGGGTCGTCATATCGTTTCACACTGTCTTGGTATCTCATAATTTAGTAATAAAATGCACACAAGATGTCACGAGTGTCTAGATTTGCAGACTCGGATGAGATAAAACGTAATTAACACTTGTTACAAAATGCATCATCTCTTAAACATGGATATCGTGATTGCAACACTTGTTGGCACAATTAAAAAAAATGTACGATATTTTTTCTTCAAGTCTCAAGATCACTAAGCCCGCACAATTCCGAGCTAATGGGCCGCGCTGCACAGTAAAAAAGGCGTCGTCGACGGTAGAAGATAAAAATTAGCTGAAATTAA